CCAGCATCTGCAGTTCCTACTATCTCTCCCACAGAGAGCTGCCAGCTGGCTGGAATTCTGTTCCTGATCTGGCTTGTACTGAGCCAGATTGAGAGGTTCAACGACAGAAGTCATGGACTGACATGCCCACCTACTTGGGGAAGGTGTGTAAAAGAAGGGATTAGGAAGGTGGAAGAGTCAGAGTCAGGGTCAGGGTTAGGGTCAGGGTCAGGCTGGGACTGACAGAAGGTGGATCAATCACAGCTTGTGAATACTCCTGGTGCAATGGTCAGTTACCTGAATTTCAGCCTCACATTCCTTAACGTCATCTTCAACGTTGATCTCCATCGAAGGGAGACGGGGAGCTAGGACAGAGAGCAAGAGTCAATTTCTCAGTGCACTCACTTGCTGTTTCGAACCCTGCCGCCTGTACCATTGCTCTGATGGCTGGCTCCGACTAACTGAGCTGCCATTTTGCTCCCAAACTAGCACCATCGACTATTAAGACCCAAGCCTGATACCCTTCATTCCAACCCTGCCCACTGACTTATGGGTTTTACTTCAGTGTGTGGTGCCTGATCTCTGAACCACCTCCACGTCCAAAATGAGAATCTGGTGACTTACTGACGGAGTTTGAAATGAGGCCAAACCTGATTCCAACAACTCATGGATCCCTTTCAGCAATCGTTCAGCCCCTTGGCAATCTGTTATTCCCAGATCCCCACGCCCTGTCATCAGCTCTGAATCTACTACTCTTGCGCACCAATCACGCTCTTGTTCAGATGCTCAATCTGTTCACGCAGGGCTGTCAGATGCTCCGGTTGTTTCTGGAGGTTGATCCTCTCAATCTGCTGGGCAATATTTAACTTCACCGTCTCCACCCTTAGCAGCTTCCAAATGACAACATCTTTCTGACACAGCGTCTTGATCTGTTAAAAGTAAATTCACCAAACATGTCACTCATCAACTCAAAGTGCTTTCCACTGTAAGCAAATACTCTCTAAGCAAACACCCCCAGGACAGGGACAGCACAGGGCTGAATCAGAGTTAAGCTACTCTTCTAACTGAAAGTAAAGGTCTCTCTACACTCCCCATCAAACACTCCCAGAACAGATACAGCATGGGGTTAGATACTGAGTGGAGCTTCCTCTACACAGTTCCTGTCAAATACTCCAGGGACAAGGACAGGGACAGCATAGGGTTAGATACAGAGTAAAGCTACCTCTACACTGTGCTAGGCTGCAAAGTAGCAAGGGGCAAGGTAAGTGATAGTGTTTAAGGTAGGTTGGGAATAGATGGAGAAATCAGGCCTGTTGGGGGGAATGTGGGTGTCAGGGTTGTGGTGGGGTTGGTGGATATGAATTGGGGAAGGGAGCGAGTGTTTCCAGGTATGGGAAAATAGGCATTGGGTGCAGAACAGCAAAGGGAGGAGCTCATCCTGGGACACAGGGGTGAAGGACGATCGGTTCCACTGGGTGTGGTATGGGGGAAGTGAGAGGGTGATGTTAGGTACTAGGGGTGTCAGGTCAGGATCTGAGTGAAGTGTAGTTGGGAGTGTGAGGTAAATTCGGGACAGTTGAGTTGTTACTCAGGAGAACTTTAGGAAAGTTAGACTTTTAGTCTAAACTAATCATGTACTGAGAATTTGAAGGATTCTTATGAAGTTAAAAGCAGGTTTGCAGAGGGTTCCAGGCGTAGGGGAATTGCTGAGCAGAATAATCTATTTCCCATGCAATCCTTTGCTATCTGTTGTGACGGGGATTCTGCAAGGTCTCTATGCATAACTCCCATGTACACTGGAATAATGTATGTCAGGCCAATGGAAATCCTATGATTGTTTGGGAAAGGGGACCAAAGGATTTTTGAGAAAATGGACATTTTAAGCAAGACAGGAAAAGGCCATTCAGTTTCTCATACCTGCTCCACCATGCAATATGATCTTGGCCATTCTGAAATAAGAAGAGAATGCTGGAGAAACTCAGAAAATCTGGCAGCATCTGTGGATTGAAGGAAGAGTTAGCGTTTCAAGTCCAGTGAGACACTATATCAAACTTGAAGTTAACTCTGTTTCTCTCCACAGATGCTGTCAGACCTGCTGAGTTGCTCTAGCACTTGCTGTTTTTGTATCAGGTATAGCATCTGCAGTACCTGTACTTTGTTTTATGTGCTCATCCCCTTGTGATCTCAACTCCACTTTCTTGATTCTCTTATAAATCAAAAGTCTGATTGTCTATCTCTGCCCCAAGTACAATGAGCCAGCCTCCACTGCTCTCTGGGGAAGGGAGGTTCACAAGACCAATGACCTGCAGAGAAGAAATTCCTCTTCTCAGTCTTTAACGGAGATCTCTTACCTTGACAGTGGCCCTAGGTTTAGACTCTCCCACGAGGGGAAACATCACTCAACACTTACCCTGCCAACCCCCTCGGCATCTCACTTTTCAGTAAGATCACCTGTCATTCTTCCAATTTCTAATAGGTATAGCTTCAACCATTCCTCATAAGCAAACCCCCTTCATCCAGGAATCAGCCTCGTGAACCTTCCCTGAACTGTTTCCAATATATCCCCTACGTCTGGTCACACCAAAACCTTGTACAGTTGTCATTAGTCTTCCCTACTTAAAGGCCAAAATATAGATAGGCCATTCAGCCCATCAAGTTCTTGAGAGGCCAATGTCTGACACACACAATTTGATTGTACTGTATTTTGGGAGAGGCAATGGCCTAGTGGTATTATCACTAGACTATTAGTCTAGAAAGTCAGCTAATGGCAAATGGTTGAATTTGAATTCAATAAAGAACATAGAACTAGGTCTACCGATGACCATGAAACCATTGTCAATTATTGGAAAACGCCATCCAGTTCACTAATGTTCTTTAGGGAAGGAAATCTGTTATCCTTATCTGGTCTGGCCCACATGTGATTCCAGACTCACAGCAACATGACTGACTGCTAACTGTCCCCTGGGTGATTAGGATGGGCAATAAATGCTGAACTAACCAGAGACACCCATATCCCATGAGTGAATTTTTAAAAATTGTTCAGTGAGTTCTACTGGGTGTAAGATGTAAAAGTGTCTTCAGAGTTTTTACCTGTTGTTTGATTTTTGGCAGCATCCCTTCATTGACTTCACTGCTCCCCCCTAGCCTCTGCAGCGCTAACCTCACATCTCTAGGAGATAAAATTACACAGCAGTCAGTATCTGTGACAATCCAACTGAAGGAGTGCACTGCTTTGCTAAGCTGACTAACAAAATGTAGTAGTGGGCAGCACTCCCATACGGGCAGAGAGTTATTACCAACACTTAACTGATTGAATGTTTTGTAGGAATAGTACAAAGAGGAATATGCATAAGAACAACCACCACTTTAGACTCTCATTAACAGGTACAAACGGCCTCTTTCTACACTCTAGGGGTTCTATGATTCTTCTCAGATTCTATGACTCAAGAAGTTGTGGTGCTGAAGGAAATGATTACCCTCACCTTCATTCAAACCTGACTCAGGAACCACAGCCAATCTCAAATAGGTGGGGAGGATGGTACAGTTGAAAATGTCGATCACTGCAATCAGGTCAAGCAGGATGAGGTAGAATAGTTTACCTTCATCACAGCCTCACAGAATGCCACTCTCTTCATACTGTAGCCGGGGCAGGGACCTGATTGGAGGCATTCAAACATGGAGTCCCTGTAAAAACAGCGAAGCTTTTCACTGCACTCCTGCTACAGCAAGTATGTAGTACATCAGGCTGAGGATACAAGAGTTTGAAAACAGGTACCAACAGAATCAAAAACAGCTCCTTCCCCACTGTTATCAGACTTATGAACGGACTTCTCATATATTAGAGTTGATCTTTCTCTGCACCTTCTCTGCAGCTCCAAGACTATATTCTGCATTCTGTTCCATTACCCTGATGTACTTATATAGGGCATGATTTCTTGGATAGCAAGCAAAACAATATTTTTCACTGTATCTCGGTACGTGACAATAATAAATCAAATCAAATCCTTCTTATGATAGGGACAAGTCTCACAAACATGAGCCCACTCCACACATGGACAATACCCTCTACCAACCAGATAGGCAATGACCCCTACACAGACACACACAAGCACGGACTCTGTCACATGCATAGGCCCTACACACAGGTACACATCCACCCACGCACACGTACAAACAGACAAACCCTCCCATGTGTACATCAACTCTCACCCAGTCATCCACTCACACCCCCAGCAATCCACAATGAAGACATCTAAAAAGAATAAAGTTAGTCTAAACAACTGGCACCAGAAACACCAAAACCACTCACTTTTATTTATCTGCAAAGTCAACTGCAGACTGGTGTCAAAATTGACAGTGTATTCCCACAGGATAGTCCAGTAACAACCTGATAGTCTGCCATAAGCCATAATATCATAACTTTCAGCAAACATACCATCCCCTGGTATGGCTCATCCCAACAGAAGGGCAGAATCCCCAGAAGTGACAGTATAATGGTACACAGTCACGATGGCCCCAGGAGGTCTCATGGCATCAAGTCAAACATGCACAAGGAGATCACTTACCATTCCGTTCCCCACCCCCAGCCCCCATTCACCCTTCAGTGCTCTCCACCTTCAGTTCCACTTGGAGAGGCACCAAGGGTACAGAATGACATTTGAATAGGGGGAGAAGTAGAGGGGGGAATACTTCGAGACTTATTACTAGGAGGGGCTCACTGAGTTGCCCTACCTTGAAGGATACAGCTCCTGTAGTTAATGGTGAGAGAAACAAAACCTGAAGTGAAAACCAACAGCATTGAAAATTCTCAGCAGGTCAGGCAGCATTTCTGCAGCTCTGACAGCATTCAGGAAGATCAACTCCATCCAGGTCAAAGCAGCCCACTCAATTGGGCATCCACTTCCTCTTCCACCAATGCTCAGTAGCAGTAGTGTACACCATATACCCCAATGGTCTCCAACCTGTTTAAACACGTTTTTGAATTTAAGTCCAACCCAGGTCATAGCCCTAAGAAAATATAGAATGAACAGCTTATTTTTAGTGCTATGTAAGTATAGAACCAAGTATCTGTAATTATTCATTTTGTCCTTACTGAGTCTCAGTGTGAGACTGTGACTGCACATTATCCGCCAGTGCCTTGAAGTCTGGCTTATATTTTGAAACTGATAATGGTGTATAGTCCATCAACTGGGTATCTGTGAGGTGGGCGCAATACTTAGATTTGACTACCTCTATTTGGGAGAACGCTGTCTCGCAGAGGTAGATAGGGTCAAAGTAAGGTCTTGCTTTTAAAAAGCACAAAATGATAGATCTGTTTACAAGTCCCCAAAAATTCACTGGTCCCTGACCTGACACTCAGCTCAATAACATTTCACATAGTAATTATCTCCATACTGGTTTTGTCCAGATGTGCAGTATAACAGCATTTTATTTCAATATTTAGAAGACTGCAGACCCAGTTTCAACTTAAATGCATTCACAGCACAGATTTGACATGTTAAATCTCTGTCCTTTCCCTGAAGTTCATAGTTCAGCTCATTTAGTTTTTATGTTATATCTGTAAAGGAATCTGAAGTTGAGTGATCAGACATTGTCTGGCAGCTCATTGTAAACTCAAGGAATGAGGTATGCAAAGTGACATTTCAGGCATTAGATCTAAAATTCTACGCAGGATCTTGCCTTGACTTAACCACCTCTCATCATTGAGCAGGATTAGTTCATTGTAGACAGCATCAAATTTGTCATGCTGAAGGGCTTTCACTCAAATCAAGTTTACATTCATTAGAATAACTCAACTACACGAGAGAAGTCATATCCCTCCACCAGCCCCTCCACATCAGTAGCTCATGTACTAATGACAATGGCAGTGTATGTGGACCATGTTGAGCTCATCAGTGCGTGTATAGAGGTTTCCCATGATAGGGTCAGGGTCAGGGTTCTGCTGTGTTTGGTTGCTCAGTCATTGCTCTACGCATGCATTGTGGCCATATTACACTAAGGACAATCAGAACAAAAAGTAAAAGAGAAAACAAATACATATTTGTGTGGTGTAGAAATGCTAATAGTTGATCCACCTGGAATGTATCTATGCTGTATGCTTGATTTAACATAATAAACATTCACAGGGATCTAAATCTGGCATGCGTGCATACACAGGTAAATAAATTTCTGAAGAAGGGTCTAGGCCCGAAACGTCAGCCTTCCTGCTCCTCTGATGCTGCTTGGCCTGCTGTGTTCATCCAGCTCTATACCTTGTTATATTAAATAAACACACAGGTACACAAGCATACAGATGCATGAACATGCCAAAATGCACACAGGTACGTACCAACTGAAATACACTTGCAGCTGAATACAGAATTGAACATATGCAAGTACAAACACAGAGATATGCTTTCTATCTCCAGAGATGCTGTCATCCTGCTGAGTTTTCCCAGCAAATTTGTTTTTTGATGCAAATACACAAGTTGATGAATGGAACCATGCCTGGAGCATAATACAAGATGTGCTGTAACACTCAGAAAGGTGTAAGTTTTCCAAAAAATATGACACACCTCTGCGTTTTTACAATTTGACAAGCTGAGTTTGATTCCTGGGGTGGGAAAGCCTGTTTTAATCTTTGATAACAAGGTGTGGAACTGGATGAACACAGCAGGCCAGGCAGCATCAGAGGAGCAGGAAGGCTGACGTTTCGGGTCTGGACCCTTCTTCAGAAATGGGGGAGGGGAAGGGGGCTCTGAAATAAATAGAGGGGTGGGGGGAAGCGATGATGGAAGGTGGATAAAGGAGCAGATAGGTGGAGAGAAGACGGACAGGTCAAGGAGGTGGGGATGGAGCCAGCAAAGATGAGTGTAGGTAGGGAGTTGGGATGGGGGTTGGTCAGTTGAGGGAAGACGGACAAGTCAAGGAGGCGGGGATGAGGCTAGTAGGTA